GGGTCTCCTTGTGCAGTTCAGGCTGGCCTTGAGCTCACTTTGTAACCCAGGCTGGTCTCGAACTTTCAACGATCCTCCTGCCTCAGCCTCCCGAGTGCTGGGATTACAGGCGTGCGGCTCCACGCCCAGCCTTACGCTAGAACTTGAGGCTGCGCCCCCAGATTTAGATTAAGCCCCATAGTTCAAGGCCAGGCAACCAGAGTCCTTCCCGAAGCCTAAAGCATCCCCCCAGCTGGCGATATAGCTCAGTGGTATAAGCTCCTGCCTGGCAAGCACAAGATCCTGAGTTCAGTTCCCGGCACCACAAAAAAAAAAAGCATCCCCCCAACCCTGCCCTGTTGGATCCCTCGCAAAACCGCTCTCGCCAGGGCGCACTCAGAGATGGGCGGCAGCGCTGGGGGGCACCGTCCAGTCCTACGGAAGTCCACACAGCGACGTCCAGGAGGCTGGAGCTGTGGGGTCTCGGAGTCCCCCGACAGCGGGTGAATGGAGGGGTCTATGGCAGGAAGGGTGGGCTGGGGTTAGGGGAGAGGAGGGCTGTGACTCAGTTTCCCTCATCTCCAAACCCCCAGGCCTAGAAGAGGAAGGGGAGGCGTACGAGGAGCCTGACAGTGAGGAGGGCTCCGAGTTCTACGAGAACGACTCCAACCTCGGGCAGGATCAGCTCTCCCAGGGTGAGGCTGCCCCTTCCCCGCTTGCCCTGGCTCCCTGGGGTGGGGGAGGGGGGGTGGACCCTCGCTGGACACCCCTGCTTCTCCGCAGATGCCAGCGGCTATGAGGACCCGGAGGACCGGCCCTTGGGTTCTGCAGATGAGGACTCCTTCTCCAACGGTAATTTGGGAACCTTGTGGGGCTTTAGAGACCGTGCTGCAGAACCTCTAGCAGAAAGTAGGGGTCCCTGGAGCTCTCCTTCTTCTGCTGCAGGGGACTCTTACGAGAACGCGGACGAAGAGCTGGCCCAGCCAGGAGCCAGGACAATGGGTGTGTGTGAGGGTGGGTGGTCGTGAGGGTGGGTGGTTGGCTCCTGGGGCCGGAGAGGCTGGAAGCCGGGAGCAAGAGTGACACCCCTCTTCCTCTTCTAGACTTCCTGAGTCCCCATGGATCTGCTTGGGACCCCAGCCGGGAGGCAGCCTCGCTCGGTGAGATGCCTGGGAGCAGCCCACCTTGCCCAGCTGGGGCTGACCGGCCCGCAGCTTGGACACTATGCGCAGCCTTGACCTGACTCTGACTGGAAGCTGAGCCAACTCCGATGACAGATTTTACTCCTGATTCCAATCTCAGCCCTGAGTCCCAGCCCAGTCCCCAGTCCACCCCAGCCCAGAGTTTTGACCTCACCGCGCCAGTGCAGACTTCAGCCTGGACCACGGCTGCAGCTCCTCACCCTGCCCCGCCCCTCCCAGTTCTGTCCCCGCCCAGCCCTCCCACCGTGACCTTAATCTGTCCATACCTACCCCCGACCCCACAGCCACTCCTAGTACAAATGGGGGGCCTCACCCTCCCAGGCCCCTCAGACTGCCCCCCGGCGGGAGGGTGGCTTCTCAGTCCCCAGCGTCCCTGCGCCTCCTGGGCCTCCAATTCTCCGTGCCCACCCAGCAGGGTCCCAGTCCTATGAGGACATGAGAGGGGTCCTGTACGCGGCCCCCCAGCTCCGCTCCCTTCAGCCTGGTCCCCAGCATGAAGAAGGTGGGTGTTCCTGCCGTTGCCCCTGGTGGTCCTGTGGGACGGCTTCCCCTCCCAGCCTCCTCCCGCCCGCCCGCTTTGCTCTTTCCCTCCTGTCCAGATGCTGACTCTTACGAGAACATGGAGAACCCCGATGAGCCAGGGCCAGCGTGGGGAGGAGCCGGCCACACCGGGGCCTGGAGCAGGTGACCCGGTGAGCTGGGGACCGCCCTGGGGGTCAGCAGAAGAGGGCTAGGCAGGAGTGGATGGGGTGCTGGGGAGGGGAGGGTGCCAGGGCCTGGCGGGCAGGGGTGGGCCCCTGGACCCCTCCTCACCCACATCCCATCTACATAGCTTGGGCTTCCCTAGACCTGGAGATCCTTACTTGAGTCTGAAACCCGGGACAAGCTCTGGAGGGACTTAGCTTAGGGTGCGCGTGCGTGTGTATGTTTGTGCACACGTGCATGCGTATGTGTGCATGTGTGTATTGTGCATGTGTGTGCACATGTGTTCGCACATGTGTATTGTGCATGTGGGTGTGTGCGTGTGCGTGCATGTGTGTATGTATGTGTTTGCATGTGTGTGCGTGCACATTGTGCATGCATGCATGTGTATGTGTGTATTGTGCATGTGTGCATGCATGTATATTGTGTATGTGTGCATGTGTGCGTATGTGTGCATGTGCATTTGCGTGTGTGCATGTGTGTGCGTGTGTATTGTGCATGTGTGCATGTATGTATGTGTGCATGCGTGTGTATGTGCATGTGTTTGCATATGTTTGCATGTATGCATGCGTGTGTGCATGCGTGTGTGCGTGGGTGCGTGTACACTCCAAGGACACTTCTGGCCCCTTTTGCTTTTCCCAGAGAAGCTCAGTGAACCCTTCCAGTCCGTTGTGGGGTGCCGTTGTGCGGGAGGGGGAGGAGAGGCGCAGCTGGGTCCTCTCCTGCCCCATCCCAAGGCTCCCGGAGAAGGGAGGGCCGCACTGGTGCACCGGCCGCTCTTTGCCTCCTGTGGCCGGTTCACACATTTGCTTCACTGCCGTAGCCCATCTGACTGCTCACGGAGACAGAGGACAGACTGACTCCTTGGTCTGTAACCTGCTGCACATTAAATGCGGGGCTTGTGTTTTCTTCGGAGCCTGTGAGAGACTTGGAAGCTGCTTTTGCTAGAGAGGCCAGGGAGAGACGGGGGAAAGAGAGGGGGAGAGTGGGGGAGAGAGAGGGAAAGGGCGGAAGAGGGAGGGAGAGAGGGCGCCTGCAGAGGCTTGGTGGATAACTAAAGTCAGAACAAAGCTTCACCTCCGCTTTGCTGCCTCCTCTGTGGCCCTGGCACTGCGGGAGAGGCCGAGGTCAGCTCTGCACACAGACTCGCTAACCGTTTGGGCGTGCTTGTCGCAAAGCTGGCAACGCAAGATTGATTGGCGCTCAATCTGCCTAACCAGTCCCATCCCCGTGGAGACCGAGGGCGCCGAGACAGAGTTGTGCCGGGACATTCAGCCACCGGCAGGGGCCCGGGAGTCTCCGGCGCGGTTCCACAGCCACAGCCACCTTCAGTTCCAGCAGAGCCTCTGCAAAGCTGAGGCCGCCCCAGGCAGAAGCCGTCTTCCCTGGAGACCCCCGCGCCCCTTCCCGCGGTGAGGACCTGTCCCACCCGCCGGGTGCGGCCCAACCAGAACTGGGATAGTGACGTACGCCAGACGCTCGGCCTCCGCCCTCTGCGGAAACAGGCCTTGCTCCTCTGCGGGTGGGCCGGTCAGGTCGTCCTCAGAGATGCCCCTCTTTCAGCTCCTCCAGCTGAAGCTCCTTCCCATTTTTGTTACTTTCTGACTCTGTGTAATAAATCAGCCTCTGCCTCTCTGTGATGTTTTTTTTTTTTGAAACCAGGAATTGAACTCATGACCTTGCACTTTCCAGGCAGGCACTGTGCCGCTGAGCTATATCCCCGGCTCTCTCAGGGATGTTCTGAAGTGCTTTTTTGCCATGGTATGTCAGGAGCTGAGGTTCCCAGTTACATTTGTCTATTTATTTGCAGTGAAGGTTGATCTCAGAGCCTTTGCTACACCGCCAGCCCTTTTTATATTTTATTTTGAGGCAGGATCTCATTAAATTGCCCAGACTGAGACTGAATGTGCAGTCCTCCTGCCTCAGCCTCCTAGAGGGCTCAAATTACACTTTTTTTTTTTTTGGTCTTTTTCAGACAGGGTCTCGCTATGCAGTGCAGGCTGGCCTTGAGCTCACTTTGTAGCCACCTACCTCAGCCTCCCAAGTGCTGGGATTACAGGCGTGCGCCACCAACCCGGCTCAAATTTTACATTAATAAACCATGATGCCTGGCTTCTGTCTCAATTTATGGGGTCCTCCTCAGGCCCCATTCAGTGACACCCTCAGCCACATTTCTACCATTGAGTTATTCAGTCACAGAGCCAGGTATGGTGCATACCTGTAATCCTTGCACTTGGGAGGCTGAGGCAGGAGGATTGTCAGTTTGAGGTCAGTTTAAGTTACATCCTGAAACTCTTATCTCAGAACAAACAAACAAACCCCAGGTACTTAATTATTGCCATTCAGCAGTCCAGGAATTGTCAGTCTAGTTACAAAACATCATCTGGCATCACTGAGTTCTAGCTCTCTGGCATTCCCGGGCACTCTTCCTTGACCCCTGTGCTCAAGTGGTTAGTAAAATGCCAACCCTAGGGACGCCCCCCTCCGTCCTGTGCCTTTGATTTCTTTCTTTATTTCTGGCACCAAGAAGATTCTGTTTTGCTTTTGAGCTTGACTATCTATTAAAAAAAAAAAAAAAAAGCGAGGTGTACTGGTGCACACCTGTAATCCCAGCACTTGGGAGGGTGAAGCAGGAGGACCTCCATGAGTTCCAGGCCAGCCTGGGCTACATAGGAAGTTCAAGGCCAGCCTTCTGAATTATATATGGGGACCCTGTCTCAAACTACCCTCCTCCTCTGAAAAATAGAGCATTTGCAAAGCCCCAGGTTCCATCCCCACCACTGACAAAAACCAAACAAAATAAAACTCAACAACACTTCCTTGATATTTTTTGCTTCATGTATATAGTGACTCAAAAAACCTGAAACAACAAAAATCGGAATCCAAAGTGTTTTTTAAAGAGGTTCTCATTGTGTAGTTTAGGCTGGCCTTGAACACACTATAGAGCCCCCAGGCTGGCCTGGAACTCATGGAGATCCTCCTGCTTCAGCCTCCAGAGTGCTGGGATTACAGGTGCATTCCACCACACCCAGCTTGGGTCCAAACTTTTGATAACTGAAGTTTCTGAAATGAAATGCCAGTAGACAGAATGAACAGTAAGACAAATTTAAGATGCAATGTGATTCCAGCACTTGGGAGGCTGAGGCAGGAGGATCATTGTAAGTTCAAGACCAGCCTGGGCTACAAAGTTCAAGGCCAGCCTGAACTGCAGAGCGAGCCCCTGTCTCAAAAAGACAAAAAGAAAAAATGCAATATGTGTATGTATCAGTTCCCCAAGGTGAATGTATTTATAATGTATTACAAACGTGTAATAATTAAAAAACTAAAGAAAAAAATGGTAGACAAATAAATAATTTTGATTGTGTGCATGTGGACAGAAGTCATAAAATTATGAGACTTGAAAGGGGATCAGATGGCTGGGCGTGGTGGTGCACGCCTGTGATCCCAGCACTCGGGAGGCAGAAGCAGGAGAATTGCCTGAAGTTCCAGGCCAGCCTGGGCTACATAGTGAATTCAAAGCCAGCCTGAACTACACAGCAAGACCCTGACCCTGAAAAGGGGGGCGTGTCAGATGATTGAAGCTTATAATTTTGAGCCACAGAAAAGACAGAGGTTTAGGGTTTTGGGGGTGCATGGTAACAAGCCCTAGGAGAGTGGGGTGAGGGAAGGGATACACACCAGACAATAAAGTCTCAGGTGAAGCACTTGCCTAGCATGAGCAAGGCCTTGGGTTCTATCCCCAGCACTGAGAAGGAGGAGGAGGAAGGGGGAGGAGGAGGAGGAAGAGGAGGAGGAGGAAGAGGAGGAGGAGGAAGAAGACAGGTGTGCTGGTGCAGGCCTGTAACCCCAGCACTTTGGGAAGCTGAGGCAGGAGGATTACAAATCTGCACACTGCCTGGGCAATTTATTGACTTAAAGTGATCCTATCAAAAATTTTTAAAAAGGACCGGAGGATGTAGCTCAGTGTGAAAGCCTTGAGTTTAATTCCCAGTACAGCTATACAAAACAAACACACACACACACACACACACACACACACACACACACTGCAAAAAAATAAAAATGCCTGTAGGGTTTACCTCAGCATTCCCTCCGCCCCATCCTAGTGCCAAGTGTGAGAATGTGTGTGGAGGGCAGCCACAGCCTGGTGTCTCAGTTTTCAGGCAGATAAGAGAGCTCCAGAGGCAACCTCTGCTTGCATCCACAGTTTATTTTTCTAACTGGATTTCTGATAAAATGGACATTTCTGTTACAGGACAGCTTTCCAGAGCTGTTCCAGAGTGCATTTCTCTGCATAGCTCTCTCAAAATCTGTCAAGGAAGAGCCGGGCGTGGTGGTGCATGCCTGCAATCCCAGCACTTGGGAGGCTGAGGCAGGAGGATCGTTGGGAGTTCGAGACCAGCCTGGGCTGCAAAGTGAGCTCAAGGCCAG